AGTTCAAAGCCAGCTTTAGCAACAGCGAGGTGCTTAGCAACTCAGTGAGACCTTGTCTCTAAATAAAAATACAAATTAGGGCTGGGTATGTGGCTAAGTGGTTGAGAGCCCCTGAGTTCAATCCCCAGTACCAAAAAGAAAAAAAAAGGAAACAGAGCAGCTGAAAAAACCCTTCCTTGTTGGGTAAGCACAGTTTCCTGGTCTTGTTCTGCCACTCCTGCAGAGCCCACAATACTTTGCATTCCCCATGTAAATAGGGCTCTGCTTTGTACTTACCCTATCTCAACCTTATCAGGCTAGCAGTTTTCTGATGGCAGGAATTACAGCTCTTGAGATAGAAAATGCTTCTGTTCCTGCTTGCAGCATACACAGATTCCTCGTCCTTCCCTGGATTGTGAGCTGTCTGAAGCAGGGACTACCGATTCCTCATGTTCTTATCTTCATTATTTAGAACATAGTAGAGGCTCAATAAATTCTAGCTGAAGAAAAAGAAGGATTGGTGAATTAGGTGAACCAGTTTCAAGATGAATGCTGCAGAGAATAGTAATTGCCTCTTGAAAAAAGCAGTCTCTGGTCTATACTTGGAGCCTAAATGGCAGTCCTTTGTCCCTACCATGGTAGAATAAGAATGTAAAGGTGACAAAGACACTGAAAATTTGAACTTATTTGCCAGGAGTTGTTTCCCTCCTGTTGGTTAATTATTTGTGTAAAATTGTGACTTGACATCAATGGAAACTTAGGAACAAATATACTATTTTCCTTTCCAATATTATTTAAAAAGTAACGTTGTTGGAAACTGAGGGAGGCACTAGATATTTTCAGAGTTCCTGTATGTGTCTTTTGTTTTGTTTTTATTTTGACAAAGGGTCTCCCTGTGTTGCCAGGCTGGTCTGGAACTCTCAGGCTCAAGCAATTGTCTTGCCTCAGACTTGCAAATAGCTGGGACTACAAACATGCACCACCAAGCCTCATTTTTGCATATGTATTTTTAGTAACAAAATTTATAATCAGTCCATTGGAAGGAGACTATGTTGGGGGCAAGATGGAAGGCGAGGTAGAAGAAAGTATGGGAATTTGAAAAGTGGAGAATTCTGAGGATTCTTTTATTGAAGATTAATGAGGAAAAATTGCTCTTTAGAATAAGGTTTTGATTTTGTAAACCTGCAGAGTATTTGCAAGTAAAGAGTACCAATCTGCCTTGTTTTGTGTAATCTCCAATTTTTTAAAAAATTTTTATTATCTTAGTTGTCCACAGACCTTTATTTATTTATTTATATGTGGTGCTTCACACATGCTAGGCAAGCACTCTGCCACTGAGCCACAACCCCAGCCCCTAGTAGTTCTTTACAGTTGTGAAATCTGTTTGATATTGTAGACTATAAATGCAGACCAGTTTGTGCACACTTACTGATTTCTTGTCCTCAGTTGTAGACTAATTTTCTTGTGACTGATCTTTATTTTTTTCTTTGAAGTACAATAGACCATAACTGTGAAAGGAGAAGATACATATTTGAAGATGGGAAAAGTTAGTAATAAAAACTTCCTCTTTTAATCCCCTCATTGATCATCAAACACAGTGTAATGTGAAATATGGAGTCTGTAACATTTTGTATGTTGTATTTTGTACATACTTGGTCTAAGGTCAGCCTATGTTCACATTTTCAAGCTTGAAGTTGGTGGGCAGAAATATAATTTAAAACCAGAAATCAGTCAGTGATTTGTTCTTCTGGAAAAAGTTCAAGTCTTTGGTTTCCCACGATACTCTTTTTCCAGATCATCAATTTCTGAGTATTCTAAGGTAAGATACACATGTTAAGATCCCATTTACTTAATCTCTTCCCATCTCAGTGAACACATGGACACACTTGTTACACACCTTGGGTTTATAGACTATGAGTAGTTGTCCCTTAAGAATAAGGTTGGGGTTTTTGTTTAATTTTACTTAGAAGCGTCTTCTGATTTTTATGTAATAAGATGGCGTGTCAAGGCAGCCTTGTTGTCCTGATCCAGCCTTTGGTTCTGCTTCTGTCATGGGGTTTTGTTTCTAGGCAGGCTCTGTTCCTGTGGGGACAATATAGCCATTGGCATCTTTAGGCACACATGATCCCAAGAACTCAAGATCCAGAGGAAGTGTGGACTTTGGCCTGGTTAGGATTGGGAGTTTTTTTCTCGAGGCCAGTAACCTAGAATAAACTGAGGACTGTAACGAAAGGGGGAAGAATGTTTTCCAAAGCAAGGCCTTCTAGGCAAAAAATGACTTGTCACCTGAAAGACTTGATGGACTTGTCTTTTCTGGCTATACCTATTTTTTGTTTCAGGGAATGCCAGGTTCACTCATTGTCTCTTATTTTTGCACATCTTGCTGCACTGGCTCTATTCTTTACCTGGATAACACCAACTCATTCTTCAAGATCATGAGATTTCTTCCAGATTTCTCTCTGGTCTGGGCTAGACACTCATGGGATTTCATGGGCATGTCACAGACACATCTGACATTGCTCAACCCTTTTGCAGCTGACTGAATGAATACTTGTCTCTCTCACTAAACTGGCTCTTTGAGCTAGTTCTATGTTCTAGCTCCCAAGCTAGTTCTATGATTGCTCAACTCTTGGCACATGGTAATGGCTTCACAAATGTTTGTAAATGAATGGAAGATAATCTCAGTATGGATAGGATCCTGCCCTGCTTCTTCATTTTAAAGTTGCTACGGAAAAAAAAAAAATCTTGACCTTTTACCTAGGAGTAAGATAAAAAAAACAAAACGTTCTGCAACATGCATAATTTGCTGATTTGTGCTAATGAAGTAGACATGAGATGTGAATAATATTAAGTATTACACTAAATTAAGCATTATTGGCCTTTTAATATAATATTGTAGTCCTATTTGAAACATTGGTGGAGCTGATTAGTTAGGTTCAGGTGTTCTTAAAACCTGTAGTTCACAGATCTTGAAGAGATTTTAGAATTCAGAGCATACATGGGCATGGATGGGGAAAAGTTATTTTCACTAGACTATAATGGAAATTTAGTATTTTCTTCGATTGTAAATGTAAAAAATAATCCACAGTTGTAAAAGTAGTGTAATTTTTTGTCAATAATAGAAATTTGTTATTTTCATACCACTTTATAGTTGATGCAAAGATCTCAGTATATTATGCTACTTCAGTGTCATTCTAGTATTAAACCCCCCTCCTAAATCTAGTAATTACACACAAATATTACTGTATCAGAACACAATAGCTTACATTAATTAATTGGTTTCTTTTGTAATCCATGCATTTCATTTTCTGCATTTAAAAATAGTCTAAGGGTCCATGTAGCAAAAAAAGTTGAAACTGAAGCCATCCTGCCCTCTCTTTCTAATGTCCCATTGAGAACAGAGATCATGAGATCATAGGCCTTTTTTTTTTTTTTTTTGGTACTGGTGATGGAACTCAGGAACACTTAGCTACTGAGCCACATACCCAGCCCTATTTTGTATTTTATTTGGAGACAGCGTCTGAGTTGCTTAGCACCTCACTTTTGCTGAGGGTGGCTTTGAATTTGCTGTCCTCCTGCCTTACTGCCTAAGCTGCTGGGATTACAGGCATGCACCAATGTGCCCAGCCATTGGTTTTAGTTCTAACATGGTTCTTACGATACTTGGAGGATACAAGTGTGGGGAATAGGGTACAGAGGAAGCATATTAGTTTCAGAAACTCCAGGATATGAGCCTCAAATCTGATATTGTCCATGGTCAAAAGGAGAGAACAGAGAATGACAACTCATAGTGGTGAAGGGAAGTTTGGGAGAAGTGGTAGCCTTAGACTCCTGAGGCAGCTCCACTGGGGGAAGAGCCAAAAGAATAGATTTCTGGCCAGGACCATCTTTGGCCAATCTCACCCAGAAGCCAGGAGGCACAGTAGCCCACTGCTGTGGTCCATTCAGTTCAGCCTCATGGAGTAGAGGAGAGCTGCAGGGTAAATAAGAAATGTCTAGCCCATTTGGCAAATCTCTGCCACAACATTTTACACTATTTGATGGTCAACAGGAATACTGGATTTTTACTCATGGCTTTGTCTAATATACTCTGGTAATATGGTAAGTGCTCAGCATTAATGAATGAACAAAGACCTGAAATACAGCTCTAAAAGTAAAAGCAAATTATCTACTATGCAACAGTTAGGAACTATTTACTTCCAGAGTGGATATTTAAAATGTTACGCAAATACTGAAGCACAATTCATCAATATTCTATTCTGTAGATTAGGTAACTAAATACCACAAGTTTATAGTTAAACACAGTAAATCTTTATTCATAGTAAATCTAACATTCCATATTTGTGAATTTGGCTAAAATTTCTGCAGTGTTTTTGTAGCTATACGCAGAGTAGCAAAAAATTTGTGACTTGTCCAATGCATTCTCAGCTAAGGTTGAACAATGCCTTCTTGTTCCAGGTCTCATACTATAAATGAGAGTCCTTTTGCTCTATTTAATGCCATGTTTTTTTCACATTTGTGCTTTTTGTTGGTGATTTCACTTTTTAAAGTGACCTCCAAGGAGTGTGTCCAATAAGGCACTTGGCCTAAGGCTGTGATGTGCCTTATGAAAGAAAAAAGTGTCAGAAAAGCTCATCAGACAGGAAGTATAGTGTTATTTGTTGTGTACAGGGTTAATGAATCAGCTATATTAAATAAAGTGTCTTTCTAACAGAAAGAACAGCTAAAACAAGTTTACATATTGACTGTTTAAATAAAATGTAGCCAGAGGCTTGCAAACACCCAGCCCTCTATTTCCCCTAGAAGCAATGGTTTAATTGAGTGATCACAGTGACTATATAGCACATAACTACCACAAATACAAGAACAACTGAGATGCTGTTTTTCCAGTTCTTAATAAAGATTAGGAAAAAGAAAATTCAATTTGCAAAAGACATGGTTTCTAGTCAGTAGCTAATTGGTACCCACTATATAAAACCAGAAAGAGGGAGAAAACACCAAAATCCATCACCACTGCATAATTTCAATGCGATATATTAAAATTTATTACTTTCTGAATATTGTTCATCTAAATTATTCAATTAACATTGTCTAGGCTTTATATTTGGAAATTAAAGAATTCAGTGGAAGGGAAAAGGAAAAGCACCCTATTTAATATAGTAACTTTAAGAACATTCACCTATGCATTATTCTTACCATCTGGACTTAGTCCTGTTAATTCAATTCTGCTTAGTTAGGCCAGTTTATAACCATTCCACACTAAATCCTACAGTATCTGAAAGTTTTGTGCTTATACTTAACAGTGGCATAGCAAATCTGAAGATTTCCCCTGCCCCCTTTTATTTTAATCATTCTATTGACTACTGTAAACAATTCTCCATGCTCTGGAGGATATTTAAAGTTAGCTAACAAAGACAGTCATCTATTCTGAGCATTGTAACATATGCAGCCTTTGAGTTTTATGTTTGTTTGTGTACTTGAGGAGTACAATAGAAACTAAGCTGAAATTTCGAACTCACTTTTTAACCACTTAAGAATGCAATTCCCCTCAGAATCACCAATATTTAAAAACCTTGTATTAACATTCTGTAAGAATCCATACACAATAAAAAGCTGACTTTCCTGTCATGCTCCACATGTCTTTGAGACTAGACACAATACATGTATTAGAAAGAACTTTAAACAGTGAGTGCTCGGGTATTCCCATAGTAGTAATTGTTAACAAAATTAATTTTATTTCTGAGAAACACTTTTGGTATCATTTTCAATACCCCATAATAGGTATTATTGTTACTGGTGATTAAGAAGCTCAGAAGCTCAAATTTTATATATCCTTAATTGTGGAAATAAAGCAAAAGAGATCTGCAAATGTGAGGGGGAAATACCCAGGCACTAAAATCAACAAACATTTGCTAAGAGAAAATTTGAAATGATTGCAGCCTTGACAGTATTGCATTAACATGGAAGAGCCACACTTCTAGCCACTTACAGGGAATACTATTAAAGAAGCAATCAAGCCATGTTTGATAGGATGTATCAATATACAGAAAAAGTATTTTTTCATAATTATAAGAATTTAACATCTTTAGTCAAACACTTGGATGGGAAACAACCTAAAAAAATTAAAGACCTACTCACTTATTTCAACTACAAAGCAAATTGCTCTGTGACTGAAGGAAAATAATTTAATATTCACTATCACTTTGAGAGTATAACTCCAAGGAATGATTATGCTCATAAGTAAACAAGGCTCTTCTATGATTTGAAACATAAAACCAAATTACAAAACTAGTTTGAAGCAATTAGAGTCCAATGGTTCTCTATGTTTTCTTTTATAGCCTTTATTTTAAATTGATATTTTAGAACAGTAAATTATCTTTCACAGCAGGGCCTCCTGGTCTGGTAATACAGTACCCCCATTTCTGAATGTAAAGTTTTAAAATAAATCAAAATGAACATTAAGGCTTACAAACAGCTACTTTTAAGTCTGCTCTTATATTTAATAAGGATCAGTTTTTACTCATATTCAAATACATGGAATGTTGGCACAAAACTGAAGCTGCTGTAGAAAGATCACAGGTGTTCTGTGGGTTATCGAAACTTTCACTTCTCTAAAAACATACCCTTACATGGTCTTAATTTTACAAATTTAAGTGTTGAGAAATGTCTAAATAATAAGTAACAATTAAAATAAAATGTTTTATTCGTAAATTATATACAGAATACGCTTTACGTTACAAGGAGATGGGGAAGAAGGTAGGAGAGCCATCACCTTCCAACCAATGCTGTTCATGTTCTCTACTGGAGATGACCATCTTTCTCTGAATCAAACGTACAAATCAGTTTGGATTTCCTAAGTTGGAAAAGGAGAATTTGCAGCTAAACTAGAAGTGCTGCTGCATTGTTATTAGTTGGCTTGTTTCCACGAAATGCTTTTGAACCCTGCTAACTCAGAATCTTAAGAAATTTCCTGGATGATTTTATGATGAAAAACAAAAGCAAACTATCAAGAACAAAGTGTTACGCATTTCATTCTAAAGAAACTGTGAAATGGCTATATAACTCTGCATAATCTGAAACGTTGCAATTTCTTTATTCCTTCTAAAGTTATTTTGATTAGTCTAACAGTAAAAAGCCATACAACTATCAAAAATGCCCTTAATCTAAATGTCATTGTGGAAAATGCATCTTTGATAACTATCAAAATGAATAAGACCTACTTACTGTAAAATTATCAAATGGATAAACTTATTAATGGCTTTAGACTGTACCAATAGTAGTACCAATACTCTATAAAATGAACTGAATAACTGCTTGGATGTCAAATACATTTCAGTAAATGGATACAAAGAATGCTACAAATAAGATGTGTACATTATGAGGATCAGCCAACATAGAAAATCCAACCTCTTGCCCTTAATCAGTTCCCAAAATTAGTCGAATTATGATTTTTCATGTGAAGATTTAGGTATCTCTCCATCATTGTCTTCTTCCTCCTCTTCTTCACAATCCCCATCTGTTTGCTGTTCCAGTTCCTCTTTTGTAATCATTTCAAAATCATTCCCATTTCCACTACTGTGTTGGGATCGGTCATCTTCTCTTCTGTCACTGTCTGTGTCTGAATGCCGTTCTCCACCTGAGCCTTCTGTTCCATGATTTCCTGGTCCTACTTTTCCCTCCTCATCTTCCTTTTTCTCACTGTCTGACTTTTCCTCACTGTCGGACTTCTGCTGTTTTTTGGTTTCAGATTTCTCATCTTTCTTTAAGTCTGCTTTTGGTCCTTTGTATTCATGTGTGTATAGAGGCCTAAAGGAGTCAATGAAGCCCACGTCAGCAGTCAGATTTGGCAAGAACCAAAAGTGGTGCCTTCCTCCAGTTATGAGCCAGATGATGAGAAACAAAATGCAACGAGCTGTGGGAAGAAAAATTTCTTTGAATAATTCAAACACTGAATCAGGGAGCAGGGAATATTTGTTAATAAAACGCTGGGAAAACATTTAGTTTTATTTGCACATTTCATGCACCTTAATATGAGTATTTAAATCCTGACTATTTTAGCATCTATCAAAACATTCTCATGGCAGAACATTCTGCTCTGAACTTAAGTGCACAATGCTGAAATGCCACTCCCAAAGAATTACTTTTATTTTTTCATCTGGGTATTGTTAAATGGACATACACTTATGATTTATGTAATTTGTGATGTTATACTCTAAAAAACAGCAGTCAGTTGGAAGTTTAAGCATTCATGAGACCATTGTGTAAGAAATGAAAAAAATGTGAGTAAGAAATGAAGTATATCCTAAGAAAAAACGCTTTATAAAGGAAAAAGCAGGGCTGCATTATGACTTTTCTAAATCCTAGGTACTTTTGCCTTTGTAGGGCACTTCCTTTATAAAAAATAAACTAAAATTATATTTTACATATGTAATGGTACAAATACAAACATAATACTGCAGTCTACTAATATATACAATCATACACACTCTACCACTGGGCTATTTCTGATTTTAAAATAAATGAAAACATTTTTGAGGGTTGCACAAGGTATAGTAGATCCAAGGCATGCACTTACATGGCCTAAATGCTACTCTAAAAAATCAAGGATAGGTCAACCCTGGATAAAGAATCCTAGCATCTATCTTCTATTTGTTTTACTAATTAGGTAAGTTATATAATTTTTGCTTATTTAAGGACCAATTCTCTCAATAGTAAGAAACAATATAATACTAATGAAAGCAAGGGAGTTTATGTATGTTTTATGACATTACTCTTTTAGAACAATATATTATGACAAAACTGAGATAATGAAATTTTACAAACTCTAATACTTCATGTAGTTTTCTATTAATTTACCAGTTATGTATGGCTCAGTGACTTTTCTTTTATAAAGACCATAATGATTATATAAATGTTATAGGCTAATCAATGGATACTTTTTTTTCCTTCATGACTATATATCACTGTTTCATATAAAGCCTCAAAAAAGCTTGTGAATGCTTCTTCCATTATTTTGTTTTGGAAAAATAAAAAACAGTTATAGCTATGCCTTGATTTTTTAGAGTAGCATTTAAAAATAAACTACCTTATTTATAAAGTAGTATTTTATTTCCACAAGAATATAAATATGCAAAAAGAATGTTGTTAGAATCTTTGGTGGTCCAAACAGAAAAAGTAAATGTTTGAAATTATGACAAGAACAAGTTCCATGATAGATTAAGAGAGAAAATGAATAACTTTTAAGGAGGCTAAACATTTTTTTCTCCAAACACAATTATAATACTATGATAGGTTTTATAGGTTTATAAGACAGATGATTCATAATATGAAATCTTGTATCAAAACCTAAGAAAATTCAATATAGAAATGGCACAACTGGGCATGGCAGAATTCTAACATGCTTTATAGTTTTTTCTCCATGTGGCATTAGATTACCAGGAGCAAAGGGAAGAATCACAGAAAAACTGTGACATGTACTGTCATACCATTTCTATACTAACAGTGACAAATTTTAGAAAAATGCCAAAAGTCTTATTTTAAATGGTGAATTAAACAAAGCATATTCAAAGTAACTACAGCAAGAATTTATTATTTTTGCAGTAATTTATTATTCAGTAAAACACTTTGATATTTCAACAAGGCCAATGCAGCTTATATTAAATATTTAAATTCTGTGCTTTTTATTCAATAAAGCATATTAGAATTCTGCTATGGCCAGGCTATATATGGTAAGATTAGGTTTTATTTGTTCTAAACAAATGATTTGCCACTTTGGGGGAAATCAGTAATTTCTACTCAGGTACCAAAATAAATTTTAGATACATCGAGAAATTAAATGTTTTAAACATCAAACAGGAAAACATAAATAAATTGGTGTCTTCTGTAGCCAAGAAGATGATCAAAAGGGCTAACAGATTTAGATCACATAAAAATTTAAAAACCCTTTTCACATCAAAAAGACAAAATTAATAGCAGGCAATAAACTGACAAGGCAGACAAAAAATCAAAGATTCCCATCTACTCTTTTTTTTTAATCAGATACAACATTTTTTATACCTTTATTTAGTCGGACACATATCTTTATTTATTTTTATGTGGTGCTGAGAATCAAACCCAGGGCCTTGCATGTGCTAGGTGAGCGCTCTATGCTGAGCCATAACCCCAGCCTTGTTGAAATATCAAAGTGTTTACTGAATAATAAATTACTACAAAAATAATAAATTCTTGCTGTAGTTAATCTTTAAAGCAAACCCTTTTCAGATTAAAATATAATAATGTATTATTTATTTCAACATAACTAAAAGGATAAACTTAAAACGTTTCACCATAAAGAATGATAAGGTAAGCAAAGTGATATATATGTTAATTAGCTTGATTTAATCATTAAAACACCACATTGTACCTCATGGTATAATCACGATTTATCAATCAAATGTAATATTAATCAAAAAATTAAAAATTAAAAAAATCCAGTAATCCTTTCTTCAGATTAGACCCAAACTAATCAAGTCTGAGCCACGTTTTGGGATTTAACCCAGAGAGTAGAATCATGTAACTCTTGACATACTTATGTTAATTTTGCTATTAAGTTTTACTAAAGTTCCAGATTATAGTTCCAACTGCTCAATACCTACCTTACTGAGGTTAGTTTTACTACTAGTAATACTTACCAACAGCAAGTAGAAGAATGCTGGCTACAAAACAGCCTGCGCCCACACTGAGGTAATAAACACCTACTCTCATTTCTGCTGGCCAAAGAGGGAAGAGTGTGGCTGCTATAACTGCAATCACTAGAACAAGAAATGACAAAGTTACATAGATAACTTTTAGAATAAAAATTTAAATGACTTGGTTGTAACAATAGAGAACATATTCTTTGGGGGAAAAGCTAAGAACAAAAAATAACAAACCAAAAAAATAAATAAATAAATAAAATTCTAAAGACCCTATCATAGAGATTGTGATTCTGGGGTGGAGCTCTGATATTCACAGACTCAAGAAGCTCACCAGCTGATTCTGCTACAGACTGCCTTTTTAAAATCAGGCGTACTGTATAGAAGTATCTCCAGTATTAGTAGGTCTTTAGAACAGTATTCAAATTCTAGCTCTATCATTTATAAGCTAAGTAACACACAGCAAGTTACTTAATCCTTTTCAGGCTAAGTTACTTTAGAGTTAATCAGTGCTGTTGTAAGGATGAGATGATATACTGTCTGTAAAATATTTAGCAAAGTGACTACTACATTAGTAGTAATCAATAGCTATTAGCTATTTGGATTTAACAGTTTCTACTCTTATCATAAGAGTTGTTTTGAATGAGGTCCTATGATATCATATTCACCAAGATTATTTTAATTAATATCTATTTTTCTATTTGTTATATCATTCTTCCCTACCCACTCCTACCCTGAACTTAGAGAAATATACTCATGTTCAAAAAAACAAATCAGAAGGTATAGTGAAGACTACATCTTCGTTTAATTCTTGTTCTACTCCATTTCTGAATAAATATTATTCTTCTGCAATTTCTTTTAAATTAGATATATTCCAGATATCTTTCTTTCTTTTTTTTTGGATACTGGGGATTGAATCCTGGGGTACTTAACTACTGAGCCATACCTCTAGCCCTTTTTTATATTTTTATTTAGCGACAGGGTCTCCCTGAGTTGCTTAAAGCCTGGCTTTGAACTGGCAATCCTCCTGTCTCAGCCTCCCAAGATCCTGGGATTATAGGTGCATGTCATCACACCTGGCCATTCTAGATATCTTTCAATCAGTGCATACTAATTCTTTAAAAGATACATGGTATTCTACTATACTGTAATTTATTTTACCCCTTTCTTATTAAAGAACTTGAATTCTGTTCAGTTTGAACCTCTAACAGATAATATCAGTGCAAATATCCTTGTACATATACATCTGTGCAACTGTGTTTGTATAACAGAGTGAATTCCTTTAAATGGAATTATTAGGCCAAAAGATATAGGCATTTAACATTTGAAAGATTATATGCTAGATTATGCTCTTAAATATAGTCTGAAGGATTTGGATTAAAATACGCAACACTTAAATGCATATGCTTGTGCAACTACACACATAAAATTGGATAAATTCCTACAAGTATAATTGAAGGGTTAGAGTATATGCATTTAAAATTTGAAAGATATGCCAAACTGACCTCCCTCTAAAATTAAAACAATGGATATACCTGTCAATTGTTGGAGAGACCTTCTAACTAAGACCTTCACTGTCAAACTCTATTATTCCTTTAATCACTGTTGCTTTATTTTGTATTTGAGCGTGATTAAGTATCATCCATGATTGGTTATTGTAATGCTTTAACTGTGCACTACCTTACCATTTTTCTACCAAGTTGTTAATCTCTTAAAGATCTTCATTTTAATATATTGCAAATATTTTCCTTAGTTTACCATTTATCTTCTGACTTTATTTAAAGTACTCACTTTGAAACAATAACTTTTATATTTAGAAATAATTTCCTTTGTGGTTCTGCATTTGTTTCCTAAATTTTAGATTATACTTTAATGCTACTTACATCCTGCTACTTACCAAGAATTAATCCCATGACAAATGTTTTAATGTGAACTGGGTCATAGATCCACACATAAACCTAGAAGAACCAAGAAACCTTAGTGCTTACAAGTTCTAAGGTCACAATGGAAAGTAGGTCTTTTTTTTTTTTTTTTTTGGTGATACTAGGGATTGGAACCCAAGGCCTTGTGCATGCTAGGTGAGTGCTTCACCAGAACCACACCCCCAGCCCTTTTAAAAAATTTTTGAGACTATCTTGCCAAGTTGCCCAGGCTGACCTCAAACACGTGATCCTCCTGCCTTAACCTCCTGACAAGTTGGATTACAAGTGTGCACCACTGCATCCACCATAAAGTTTATTTCTACATTTAAGGACCTCTAAGGCAGTCACCAACATCTTAATATATGAGGCTTACTTTCTAAGAAAAATTCCAAAGACTTTCCCTTCAATAATAATGGTTCCTTTGGCATTCATTCAGTTAGAAAATGATCATAAGAATGCTGCTTGTTTTGTACATACTTCCATGCATTCAATAATTTGTTTATGTGTGCAAATCACTGTTTATTCAAAATAAGGATCAGCAATTATCAATCCTTTTGTTCCTATGTAATAATGGATCTGTTTGGGCTAAGAACATAGTTAAGATTCCAGCCAGGTTTTACTAAGATCCAACAGCTCTAAACTACATATTTTTATCTCCTACTGACAACAAAGAACCACTATCATGCTTGGGGAACATAAAGATTCAGTGACTCCCTGCAATAATTTCACTGTCCACTCCTTCAAGGAGGGTTTTTAGCCCACATGAAGAGATCCACTGTTTTAAAGCTTGATGTACTTTTAGCAGGCAATTTTATACAACAGAACATCATTCAGATTGGAGATATGTTCAATCATCATCCATAACTCTTAGTTTTATTTCTTAATTTCTACAAATAACAGAAGTCTTTCATTTCCTATTTGACCAGAATTCTTTCTGTCCTTTCAACTTGGTTCTTCTATTTCTAACACCTGGGGTTCTGCTTCAATCCCTACTTTTATTCTTTACAATCTCCCTGGAAATAAGTCCATAGACATTACTTCTGCTACTTACCATTCTAAATAAATATATTAAGAAAAAAAGACATTTCCTACCTTTAAAAATTGTGGAATACATGGTGGTTTCTAAGAATAAAATCTAGTCTTTTCAGGATGGCAAGACCCATGCTTTTGCTCAGCTTTTCCTTCCCTAAAAGACATAAATTCTTCCTGGTTCACTTGGCAATCTGCCTGTCAGCCTTGAAGGCTCAGCTGTGTCCAGGGTCTTTAAACCCTACTTGTCCTTTCTAATTAGTTTTTGAATAACAATTCCTAATTGTTAATCTCACACCATTAATGCTTACCATTCAACAAAGTAACAGGTTTAAATGCTTCTGTGTTTGACAGACTGCTAAGTGCTTCTGTGTAGAGAATTTCATTGTACTTACCATGCTATTCCCAGCACCTATAAAAATAGCTGGCATATAGCTAATGCTCAATGCTTAACTGATGGTACTAGTGCACTTCTATTACAAGGGTTCTTAACCAAACTTTTGTCTTTTTTTTTTTTTTGGTACACTGTATTAAACCCAGGGCCTCTCACATGGTAGACATCAACCAAGGTTCTTAACCATTAAAATTACCATAAGATATTTGTATGCAGATGCATACCCATGCCCACCCCACCTTCCGTTTAAGAAATTTAAGATTCTCATGCAAATATGTTTGCGAAAAGCCTAGACAGAACACGTTTTTTTAAAAAATATTTATTGCTAGTTTTAGGTGGACACAATATCTTCATTTTACATTTATGTGGTGCTGAGGATCGAACCCAGTGCCTTGTGCATGCTAGGCAAGCACTCTATCACTGAGCCACAACCCTAGCCCCAGAACATATACTTTTAAAAAAGCTTCCCCAGAATTTCAAACACATAGCCCTAGAAGCCAGTATTTTATATATACTACTTAATATTTTAGTAAGAAAGAATATGCCCTGAAATTCACAATAGCCCAATTGTATATAACTAATGTTTTTGTATTGGTTAAGTAACTACATTAACCAATGTAATCTTCCTGGAAGGTTGCCACCACACAAATTTACAATTATAAAAGATACAATAAAAGCTAGCTCCTTGAGCAAAGCATCAAATAATGTTGAAAATTTTAGGTCCCTCAAGTGATGTGTATAAGAGACAGAGATCAGTCGATGTCCCCCATTAACTACTCTGTTCTTTTTTTCTTTGATAATAATTGAAAATTGCAATTTTAGCTGGGCAAATGATCATTCAGCATAAAAAGTGCATATCTAAGACTTTATTTCAGGTAAGTATAACCATGTAACTAGATTCTAGTCAGTGGAATTCAAGCAGAAATGAAATTGCCAGCTTCTTGGACAGTGTCCTTAAGAGGCCTTCTTAAATAGAAGCATGGTTTTTCACTCTTTTCCTCTTCTGGATATAGATATCCAGGTTGGCAATCATTTTGGACCATGAGGCAATCTTCAAAGGTGAAAACAAAGGAACTTAGGTCCACTATGGAGCTGCCCTATCTCTCTAGATTACACTGATGAGAAAGAAATAAGCAACTATTTTGTATTAAGCCATTATTTCTTTAGGTTTCCTCTTATATACTCTTACCTCATTTCCATCCAGAAAAACTTGATCATCATGTGGCTCAAGTTTGAATTTTTTCTTCGTTTCCTTCTTTTTGGGAGTTCCTGGAGTTTCCTCCTATGAAAACCACAGGTGAATAATAGAAATAACACTTATTATCAAGGAAAAGCAATATAACATTAATATAGTCAAAAATTTTTTCACTTTTAACACAAAAGATTCTTAACTATGATATTTATAAATAATCCCAATATAATCATCTCAAACGGTGCTGATATTTTAAATATGCTTATATCCCAGTAGATCAAATACACATCATTTTTACTTAATTTTAGTTTAATTTACTTTTTTAGATTCTTCCTTTTCACCATCTTTTTTTTTCTCTTTTTCCTTTTTTGTCTTTTCTTCCTTTATATTTTCTTTCTTATTCTTTTTGTCCTCTTCTTTTCCACTTTCAGCTTTTCCTTTATCTTTTTCTTTTTTTATGTCTTTATCATACTTCATTTTCATTACTTTTAGAGCCCGGTGGAAAAACTGCTTCTTTAAAAGCCTTAGGGGTAAAAAAAGTATAACATTATATTCCCAATCTATTATACAGACATAGACTAAAAAGCAAAAAAGATCAAGACCCAAATAAAATGAGCAAAGAAAGACATAAATTGGCAACCCATAAATTACAACTAGTAAGCCCATAGAAATATACTGAACTACACCAACAGTCAAAAAAACCTTTTATAGGTCAATTAGATTATATGAAAGTTGTCAAAACTCAATGATATTCAATATAATTTTCACTTTTAACTATTTAATTTAGGTATAAAAGAGATTATAGGTTTGTAATTACTGATATAAAATTTATCTCTAGGTCCTTTAAGAGTAAGCAAGACTAGCCTCATTTAATGTTAAGTAAGTCTAAATGCCAGAAATGATAAAGAGGAAAATAGTGTAAAAATGTTAACAGATTAAAAGTGTGTCATGCCAAGTATGGTGGCGCACACCTGTAATCCCAGCAACTTGGAAGGCTAAGGCACAAGGATTGAAAAGTTCAAGACTAGCCTGGGCAACTTAGTGAGACACTCTCTCAAAATAAAAAATAAAAAGGGCTGAGAATAATATAGTTCAGTGGTAGAGTAACCCTCCCCCTGACTCCCAGTTTAGTCCTTAGTACAGCAAAAGAAAGGAAAAAAAGTGTGTCCACGATTTGATTAATTCTATTCATATCTCTTCACCATTTTTCTGGGTGTCGTTTTTTTTCTCCATGGACTTCACTATTCAAGCTGGCATTATGATGAGATATTTTCAATTAAGTAATGAATAATTAAATACAGTAATATGAGATTTCTGGACTCTGATAAGGATTATCACAAGATCAATTTGAAAAATATATTTGGCAAAATATTATGTATTCTTGCTTTTGTTAACTTCTCTCTATACACACTGTTCTTTCTTCTTTTTAGTAGTTATTATTATTATTTTTTTTTTTTACATTCTCACCTCTGGACCATCCTTTCATCTGGAATGTTTTCCCCCTAAATAAACATGTCTTTTTGTTTTACTGCCTTACTTTCTTCAAGTTTTCCCTTAACCTTAGTTGACCGTGTATAAACCACAAGCCCACCCCATCCTCTCTTCTGTTTCCTGTTATCCTATCCTTAGCATCTGTCTTCTTACTATATAATTTGTTACAACTGTTTGCTCTTTCACTAACTGTAAACTCTTCATGAGATCTTTGTTTTATTCATTTTTATGATAAGTTTAGAAGCTCAGCTGATCCCAATTTAAATCAATTTTGCGGTTGACAGTTCCTTTCTAACCTTATAATCCTACCAAGAAACTGGGTTACCCTTCATTTTATCATTTATAAGCAACTTTTTCAAATCTTATGTTCAAGCTTCTAAGTTTCTTATCTTTTTCTTCACTACTGCCTTGATAATGTACAACTACCACAACACAATCTAGAAGCAAGGTCTCACTAGTACTATCTGTACCTGCTAATCTACCTTTCTATTTACACCTCACTGGTGCCTGCTCTAGAACATCATGTCATTTGTGAAATAGATCTTCCTGTCCAGATGACCACTTCTTTCTGGTCACTGTGTTATGCCCACTGGAGCACTTATATTTCACCTGCCTGGATGGGCTTCCATTTGTAGCACATTAGGTCCAATCCATAATCATTACCATAAAGTTTACTTTTAGGTTTCCTCATCTGCCTATTCTATTTGTTCAGAAAATCTATTTAGCATATAATTTTGTAAATGTTACCATTAATAATTGCTATACATATATATGTATATGTATACATACACATGTAAATAAAATTAAGAATTAATGATTAGCTACTTATAAACAGTAAGTGGGATATAATAGTAGAGGGGTGTTTGAATATAAAGGGGTAATTTATATTTTTTACTTCAGAATGTCTTGACAAATTTATAATGAACATATATTCCAATTCTGTTTGTGTCTTTATGTGATTTCCTAGAAGAAACATTTATTATCATTTAATCTGAAAATGAAATCTTTTTCATGTAATGTTAATTTTAAAAACCAGCATTTTATATTATAGTTCATATTACAGATGTCCACATAATAAATGTCCACATATTGAGAGTACATGTATACACATATAGATACTTTAAATGTATATTCTCAAATGGTAATGTGGTTAACTACAAAACAACATTATCAATAATTTAGGTTTTCTTCTGTATCGTTTTCTTTATCTTCAGTTTCTGAAATTTATATCAGTGGAAAAAACTCTTAATAAAGAAATAAGTAATTTAAGAAATAAACCATTGAACTCTAGTAAGAGGGAAAAAACCTTTTCCCTGATGAGCAGATACAGAAGGGCATAGGACAAGTAGGACCATCTGCTTCTTCTGTCACTTTTCACTCTTCCTGCAAGGTTATCCCCACCCATGAAAGAAAAGTAGATTATTAACTTCCAATCAAATCATGTTGAAAATAATTTCACATTGAGTTAGGTTCAAATATCATCTTTACCACCTGACTAGCTAAATGACATTAGGTAAGTAACTTAACTTCACTTGATTTCTAAAATGACATACCTATCTCATAGGGTTTTTTAGGATTGAGAACTTGTAACTGTTGAACATAGTGTCTGGTATACATAGAGTCAATAAATGTTATCATTATTGCTATGGCAAAATCTTCAACTGCAATTACTAGTTATGGGATACATATACATTTGGTTTCAAAGATCATTATAGCACTAGTCCATTTTGTACTAAGTACAATCACTGACTTACTCATTTATGGGTCTTTAGAGGATGTCTATTTCAATTCATTCTATGCTTAAAAATGTGAGATTAACATTATTTAACTTTTGTAATAAAATCAAAGCCTCTACTTATTTGGCTTTACATATGAGATACAGAACAAATCATGAGCCCAAAGAAATATCTGTCTTGATATTTTTCACAGAACTACTTATACTTTCTTATCTCAATATATCCTATGCCCTCTCCTGGGAATAAATACCCCTTTTCTCTTTTTTGTTGGGTAACTGCCTATTTATGTTTCAAATTTTGATTAAAACATTTTCATCAGCTATTGTTATTAATTATAAATCTGTCCCAACAGATTAGAATTCTGTTTTCTGAGATAGGAAGCAAGTCACAGTAATTGTATTCTAGGGGCTTGCTTTACAATAGATATGTGATAAATACATGATTGAGTAAATAAATGGTTTAAAAGCAGCCTGTAAAAAGTTTTAAAATTACTTCTGTATTTTTTCTCACTTCTTAAGCATTTTTTTTTTCAGATTTAACAAATATTTATTTAACGCCTGGCATGTATTAGGTACTTTCACCTATGTATCAATGGTGAATTTTAATTACATGTCCCATTGTGCCAAGTGCTATGGAGAAATGATCCTACAACTGTTTTCAGATTTAGATGCAAGAGATTAAAACACTAACACATATACTAGAATTCTAAAATGGTTAAGGGCCAAACTGGATGATACTAACTTGAAAAGTCAGTATAACTTTAGAAACAAAGGTTAATGTGAACTGGAGGACCTGGGGAATACTACATGGTAGAAGTAGGACTTGAGAGATGTGTTTGTAATATTGACAGGCAGATTGGATAGAGGAAAGACAACCACTGAAGGAAAGTGGCAGGTTAGGATCACAGAAAGACCAGAAGAGAGAAAGAGTGTGACTCACTTGCACAAGAGTGAGGAGGACATTACTAGACTGCAGGTCAGTGATGCAAAATTTCATTGACACCTAGTCTGAACTAGTTTGCAGAGTTCATGTGTGCAGTAGGCCACAAAATGTACAGATTGTACTAGAAAAGATCTTTTTTTTTTTTTTACTATCCCACATTTTCCTGTTTTGTGTCTTTCCTCACACTTCAAGTGAAACTGGACAAGAATCTTACTGTGGTTTTCTCTATGGCTGAGCAGGAACCCATGAGGACTGGCCATCCAATCCTCAATAGTTATATTAGAAATGGCTTCTCTCCTTTATTTTAATGAAAAAAAAGGACAGACACAACATAAATGGGAATAACATATAAAATGAAAAGTGAGAACACCTCTATGACATTCTCTGAACCTAGGTCTTTGGAGCTTTTAAAAGCTTTTAAAATGGTTCCATAGCTCCTACAAGCCCAAATAGATATGGGCCATACTGGCTGCTCTCCTCAGAGAAATAGTCTCAGAGATTTAATATCCAAAAAAATTAGTATTGGCAAGTGACTCAATTGTAATCTTTGCTCCCTTAAAAGAACCATCATCTTGTTGGAGGAGATAGTCATAGTGCAGTGGTTGAGAGCATGGACTTTGAAGCCAGAATACTGTATTTAGAACCTTAAGTCTTACCAGCTTTGTGACCTTGGGCAAGGTTCTTAAATTCTTCATGCCTCAGTTGCTGCATATATAATTTTTACACCATATGTAAAAAAAAAAAATTATTTTGAAGTGGGCAGGGAGTTTGTATTTTGGAGCTAATTCTAATTAGACAAATTGCTGTAAGGAACAAGTAAATATCAACTGCACCACTGTTAGGGTATCCCCACCCAACAATGAAACGTACTGTTTCTGAAATGCCTATTAGTGATCTCTCGTCTTTGACAACTAAGAATTTTAAGGAATATTTGATCCCAGTGGATCAGGACGCTGAGGTAGGAGGACTCTTGAGTTCAAAGCAAGCCTGAGTAACTTAGTGAGGCCGTAAGCAACTCAGTGAGACCCTGTCTCTAACTTAAAAAAAAAAAAAAAGGCTGGGAATGTGGCTCAGTGGTAAAGTGCCCTTGGATTCAATCCCTGGTGCCAAAAAACAACAACAACAACAACAAAAAAAGATAAATATTTGATAATTATTTAATACAACAGTTTAAGAAACCAGGCTGTGAAACAGTGGATTTTAAGAGGATTCTCAGATGGCTAATATCTTAAGTGTTAGTAAACCCAATATTAACACCATATCTCAGCATTTTTTTTTTCTTTTTGCAAAAAAGTGGGATGGAACCATTATATGCAGCTTTTTTCTTTTTCTTTTTTTAAAAATTGTGCTGGTGTCATTTAGAAATCATTTATTATTAATCTTTGGTGCAAGATTAGGATGCATGGAATATTTGTGAATACACATTAATGCACTGTGAAGATTATGTGGGGAAATGCTATGTATCCCTCCCTACGAACATGAAAAATAATCTAAAATCTCCAATTCTCAGATTATAAATATCAGTGTCATGAAAACAAAATTCAGTCAACATCTACTATTAAATATACTTAGTAAGTATTAATAAGTAAATCCATGGAGTGTCTGCAAAGAAAAAATAAGTAATGTGAAAAATATATCTATGTTACCAAATTGTACTGCATCCTGAATTCTCAAAGACAGGAAAGGTAGATGTAGTTGCCTTGATTTTCAAGGAATACTACATTAGTAATCATTAAAAACAGGGAAGGGTATCTGGCTTATGGTTCTGGGCACAGACACTAAAAAACCAAGGATAACAAGGATATAGGAATCCCTGCAAAAGTTTTAGAAAAACACTCCCAACCATTTGCTCTAAAAGAGAAAGAGCTTGTTCACTGTAGACTTTGGCATATGATATATTGCTGACCCTTTAGTTTAGCGGGCCTGGCAATAGAGTAAAAAAGCTACCGTTAATGATAAAAAATAAGTAAAGAGTTTTAATACTATGGTGAAACTTAAAAATTATTTTGTTATACAAAGAAATAAATTTTGTTGTGCTAAGAAATAATACTACCTGTTGCAGTAATCAACCACAGACTCCCTTGTTGTAAATAAAGCTTCCTCTCCTTTCTTGGCCTTTGCCCACTTGGAATCCAAAAGGCAATCCACTGCTTTTGAAGCTAAAGAAGAAATTTATTATTTTAAATTTAGTATTCATGGGAACTTATGTCTACATAAACAAAATTTCATAAGGCAAATTTCAACATTCTGACACAGAAAATAAAACCTAGCACAATGTAAAATTAAGTATAATATGACCATCATAACAGTTCCTTAAAACCTCAATTTATGAAATATATTGATAAGCATCTTTTAAAGTAACGTTGTGAAATAAGTGGCTCTCAGAAATACTATTTAAAACAAGGTAAATTAATAGGGAAATGTTTATGACAAAAATTTGCAAAATACTTGTATGCAACTATCACTCTTATCAAATACAGGATAAACAAACTCAAACACCTTCCTCTTTCTCCACACAGTAATAAAAATTCTCATCAAATTTTACTGTAACCCACTGAAGAATAACTCTGTAAACAATCAACTACTGTCAGTAGAAATAGCTAAATGTTAGATTTAAAGTGATTAGTATGTCTATTTTTAAAAAACTCTGAATATCAAAATCATTAATATTACTAAAGAAAGAGAAGATAACAGAATTTCTTCTCTATAATGGCAACTCAATTTTAATTGATAAAAAAGGCAACACAACCACTATTTATAAGCTATGGGCCCTATTATACACTACAAGAGTTTATAACAAGGTTGTATGGATAATATGAAGAACCAAAGCTCCTAGTTAGTTCCAAGTACACATACTATTAAGATAAAAGTTAACACTTCAGAATACTAAAAGTAAATCCTATTTTTAAAATTTCCAACAAATGCAATTAAAAAGAATAGGATAATCAATTGTCATATATTAATCACCAACTTTTAATAAACACACTTGGCAAGTACTTCTAAAACTTCTACAAAATCCAAATTTAGGTAACTTCATATGATATGTACACTAATATTGTTTTATAATCCTACCAATAAAATAATCAACACGGTGACCCATCATATTGGTGGATTTTGTTGGACAGTTGAATCGAAGATACTTGGCTACAGCCTTCTCTTCTTTAGATGGTTCACCAACTTCCTGCAACGTAAGAATATTAATTTAATGTAATGATTTACTTGAGAAATTTATGCACTGAAGAATAATTTACAGATCTGTTCTGTAAATCTTTTCAAATGAACTACAGCCCTTGCTTCAGGCAATCTCTGGAGCTTGGTAATGCACAAAAAAGAGAAAAATAGAGATTTTTAAACTATATATTTTTCAAATACAAATAGACAAGGGCCAGACCTGTCTGCTTTTTTGGCCTCAACTCTGCTTTTTTGGCATTTGAATTGTTTTTCCAGTATGGTAACTACTTTGTACCAGTTCATCTTTTTAATAGTCACAAAACAATAATTTAAAAGATAAGATGTTGCCAATAGTGACTGCCCAAATGTCAAAGTATGATGAATTAAGTGTAAAATAGCTACAACCAAAGTATGTACCCTGAATAATATGTATAGCCCATTGGGACAGTTCTCAAAGTAACCAAGGATAGCTGCCTCGATGAATATTCCTTAAGAACTCCTAAGATGCTGACAATTGGTACTCATTCCCTCCCATTTCCTCTGTAGTTGCAGATACCAGGTATTGTCTGGGACTCCTTTCCTACCTTGCCTTCTTCTTTTCCTTAATAAAGATAAGGCAAAAATTAGAACTGCAGAAAACAGATATTACTATGTCATTTGAACATCTGGTTAATGGAAGCACACTCACAAAGTAGTTTTGAAAAAGCTTTAATTCTTCCCTGTTTTCTTCCATATCTCTAAATTTTCTATTATATACTCTGCCACTATCAGCTGTGAGTTATTTGTAGCAATAAAAATTAAAAGCTCAAACGACTCAACTGGAATGAAGACTACTATAAAAACAAAATACTCATGAAAAAATTTTTATTAAGATACGTACCCCAAAAACCCCAGAGTCCTAAAAAATTGCAAAATCAATATTTTAACACTCAAAAAGTTCACTAACATCTACATAGTTCATGATCTGAGTCTTAGCTATAAAATACATTTCCTGACATAATAAAAGGTGAAATTCCTTATTAGAATTTTTAAAACCATTTTATGTTAATATATGTTGACATCACATGTTAAATGACAGTATTTAATTGTATAATGTACATGTGTAATAAACATGAGCTTCATCTATTAGTAAATATATATATTCATACAGCTGAAAAAATAACATAATAGTTGAAAATAATGATATATTAATGCCTTACAGAAACCAATTCTATTTTATAATCACAACTATACTCATTATCCCCTCATCTGATACATCTGTTGTCAATTTGAAGATATATCTAATTGATAACTTGTTACTGGCATTAAAAATTGTGGGAGGAAAAACCATTCAAATATGTACTTCTTGACTGCTTATCCTATGATCTTCAGATGCTACTGTTAATACCAAACATTTGTAAGGCATGACACCTTCACTTTGGCACATAACCATCAAAAGAAGCAACTGCTATTTTCCAAAAGGAGTGGAAGAAATATATTTTAGATGTACACAAAGTAAAAGTGAGATAAATGTGGATAGGAACAGTTAAAAAGGATTTCTTGAAAGAAGGCACTGAATTTTGAAAGATGAATGAGTTTGGGGTAAACTGAATGAAAAGTATAAACACGGTGGACTCCAGGAGAGACCAGTTATGAAGCTCTGGGAGATTAATATGTATAAGTAATTTTTATTGTATTCTGTAAGCAGCAGAAAGACCACTAGTAATTTTTGAATAGAAGAGAATTAGAAAAATGTTTTAAATATTACTTTGGTGGTTCTGTGAGATGAATTTGAAAACAACAACAACAAAAAACTCATAAAGCACTTAAACTAGTTAGAAGACTACTACAATATTCAAGTAAATGTGATGTGATGCCAGACCAAGAACAGGGAAAAAAAAATGTAGATATCTGAAACATTACAAATATAGAATAAATAGGATTCAATTATAAAGAATGAATGAAAAGGTTAGTTAAAGGTATGTAGGTCAACAGAAATGATAGTTTTTCAATAACAGAAAGGAAACTGGGAGGAAGGTAATTCTGGAGAACAATAATGTCACTCTGACATGGTATGTCAATATTCACACTAACTCAATTAAAACACTTACTGATTATAGATAAATGTATTAATCTTCTGAGAGATAATCAAAGTAGTACATGTAAAATTGGGTTAAATATCAGGATACATAAAAAGCTGAAAAGTTGATTCTATTATGCAATAGGGAATTTTGTATATAATGTATATACAAAATTTTTAAATCTCATTTTAACAATTAACTTCAAGTTAGCCAACTTTTCCACAACTGCATACCCTCCTTGGAAAGATACTACTAAGAAACAATGACCAGAAGAGATTTAGAAAACATAGGATTTGGATAATCTCTCCTAACTAGACACAGAATTACTTGTCCATTGATACTTTCTTAAAGTATCAGTAACTTATAATTGTTATCCATATTACAATATGGATTGCCTTTATGAAAACAATACAATTTGTTATCTCCTGGGGCTTTGAAGCCAGAAAGAAAGATCCAGTGAGAACATGACTATGAGAAGTTGGTCATACAGGGGATCCTGTATAATGGCTTTATTCTGTTTCCCAGCTGCAGCCTAAAGAGGGTATAAAATAGTCTAACCTGCTTCTTGTTTATACATTGAACTACAGTATCTTCCCTGTGTTCCCTTTTGATATGAACAAAATATTAACATTTCAAGGTTTATAAAAAGAAATAAAGGCCTTTTAGGAAATTAGCACCCACTAATGAAAAGGAAACCAGCCCATCAACTCTGAAACAAAAGGAGAGAAATTTTTAGGCAAAAAATTAGAATGTGTTAGAATGAGGACGTTAAGATCCAACAAGTTTAGGCTAGAGTGCCTTTCTTTGCACCCAAATACCAATGTGCTAATTGCTGTAAACCACTTTTAAATTCAAAGTTTGGTTAAAACACTCTTATAAGATTGTTTAACAAAAACTATTTTTACTTTAGAACACATCAACAAACACTACAATGACATAGATTACCAATTTCATTATTTTAGCCAAATACTTAACATTTTTGAGGAAAAAAAATTAGATCCAGAGTAGGTAAACATGGGTTTTTATCTTACAGAATTTCTGATACAGAAGAATTTAAAAACTATATCCAATAGAATGCCTTACTTGATCTGTCAATACTCAACTGAGCAAAAAAGAAAAAGGTTCACGTTTACAAACTGTAAATTTGTACACAAAGACACAAAAAAGACAGTATAAAAATATTTGTGAAAATGCCAACAATAGGTTAACAGAATAAAATCTGAAAGCTGGAAGGGACCTAAGGTAAATCATTTGCTCAAAGTCACACAGCTTTGTATATTGACTGTATTAGTACCCTTCTGTAACACCTCCAATTCACTTCTATTGTATTCTCTCTGTAACAACAGGTTTGTTAGGTAACTGCAAAACCCTCCATTAAACCTGTGTGGGGAGATTTCAGACTTAGGACTATCTTCCTGGGTTCCTTCTCTTTTCTTCAGAAGGTCCTGAGAAGTAAGACCTGTAGTCTGGCTCTATGGTCTAAAAGTTGCTATTTTCTTTCCTTTCCTGAAATTAAGCATAGCTTATGATATGTCAGGGGTTTAGTGCCAGGAAGACAGCTAAGTCCAACAAAAATAACTGACGGAGGTTATAAAAGTTCTAAGAACAAGTAAGCCATTTAAATGTCCCAAAACTCAACAAGATATACACATATGCAAAATACTGGATGAGATGATTCCCTTTAGCTGGGACAAGTCATATTAAGTCTTTTTGTTGTACAATTTGATATAAAGAATCAGGATTAAAGTATTTCTGAATAACTTACTTTTATCAATGGTGAGGTAGAAAGACTATTCAATTGGGAATTAGAAGATCTATCTAAAACTAGTTTTACTATCTTGATGAGCAATCCGGGTTATGTCACATAACCTCACTGGACATCAGTTTATCTGTAAAATGAGGGCAGGCAGTACACTCTAGGCCCATCATTTGTTTTTATATCAGACTAATTGGTGAAGAAGTTTCAAAAAAAATTTTACTAGACTATTTTCAACTCTTAAATTTCATGACAACAGGATTCTAAATCAATGCTTCTAGTAAGCAGCACTGTTAATCTGTATGAAGTTACTATATTTCTTTAAAAACATTACATAATTGCATTTCTTAAATAACTTAAAACTCTATTCAAATTTTTCATTAATTTGGATTGATATCACTCTTATTTGAGAATCTCCATCATTAAAATTTGTTCATCATGTCAATGAACATGTGGCTCACTTCAGGTTTTCAGTGACGAGTACTTTCAGTCCTAGAAGGAAATGTGACAATAGTCTTCTTGCTTCCAACTTTGATGGGACACAAGAATCTGAAATTATGCTGCACTAGAAAAAGCAAATGAATTAGCTACTACTTTTTTTTTTTTAACCCTGAACTTATTTTATTGTTTATACCAAACATCCTCCCCCAAATTACAAATTATAATTCAAGGTTACTGAATCTACTTAACATAAAATCTTTTCTAGAAATGAATAATCATGAAACATCAAATAACAGGAAACAGGTGTTATTGTAGAATACTCTGCTTTTAAGTCCTACAAAAACAATCTTTTCTTTAACAAACTCTGAACTTTGTCATTAATTTGATCTTTTAATCTCACGTGATTTCAATAGCATAGAGTTTCTGACTCTCTGGTAAGGAAAAAAAAAGGGGGAGTTGACTAGGACAGTGTATTTTTATAAATTTGTCAGAATTTTAATGACATAAAAGTACCACTCCAAGATCTTCCACAAATATTCTACACAGTTATTTAAAAAACTGTGATGAGAAAATAATGTATTTTCATTTTGCAGTATGCAAAACAATCAGATCCTGAAATAAACAATAGAAAGTAAGTAGATACACTTTCTGTAACTCACAATCTAATGTTTATTTACTGAATAGATAGCTGTTAACCAATCTTCACCACATTGAAAAGTGTTTAACAAAAACCAAAATAATAATCCAACCTAAGTTCTTTATCCTAGGGGAGGATAAGAAGGAAGAGGCTGTGCACCAAGCACTTTTTGTAACATTTATAACTTAGTAAGTATAAATGATTTACCTACTGTTTTCACAGCAACTGTATAAATGTAAGGTTTAAAACAATTTTTTTTTAAAGGTAAAAAATCCCTTACATATGCAGAAAATTGAGGTTAAAAAGTAACTTGCTCAAAATTACTCTAAAAATTGGTGGAGCTTCAGTACAAAGAGGCACAGTGGCAAACACTAAATTTCTGGGCCACTACCTCTATAGTACTATACTATATTCACCTACCTTTTTATCAGCAACTATTCAAAAATTGAATTATATACCCTTCCTGACAATATTAAGGTGCAGTTTAAACTGTAAAATAGTGTGTGTGTGTGTGTGTGTGTGTGTATATATGTATATATATATATATAATATTATATTTTTAAAAATTTGTTCTAATTAATTACACATGACAATAGAATGCATTTTGACACATCGTACATAAATGGAGTGTAACTTCTCATTGTTCTGGTTATATGTTATGTAGAGTTACACCATGAAATCATATATGCACATAGGGTAATGATGTCTTTATTCATTCTACTATCCTTCTACCCCCCATATCCATTTCTCTGTCTAATCCAAAGTACTTGTGAATTAGCATCGCATATCAGAGAAAACATTCAGCCTTTGTTTCTTTGGGATTGGCTTATTTCTTTTAGAGTATGAATTCAAAACTCTTTGAATAGTTTGTAAATATAGCTTACAAACAGTGGGTATTCATGGGCATAAAATTTGTGTTGTCAAGTATAAGGAGTACAGTAAGTACAAATCTCACAACTTCCAATAAAAATTTTGGTAAAATGTTGTCTATATAAATCAGTAACACTAAATTTCAAAAGATCAGGAATAGTATGATTAGAAACTTCTAGTGTCTTAAGCCCTTGTCTTCAGACCTGTCTGAACTTGGAATCTGCCTCTTTTAATTCCCTTTGGTACCCTGTTCACAATTACTTTTTTTTTTTTTTTGCCAAACTGCAAACTTACTAGATCATTATCTTTTTTCAGAGTACTTGAAAGACCACTTTAAAAATTTTTAATTTAAACTTTAAGTTGCTCAAAACACCTGTAAGAGGGCCAATAAGCTGATAAACAAAAGTGCAGAGAATATAAATAGGAAAGTCACTCTATTCCAGGAACAGAAAACAGTAAGTGTAACAATTGGAGATAAGTATAACTGACAACTTTACTACATGCTATCCATTTATGATGCTTTTGATTTCTCAGCATATGAACTGCTGAGACTAATAAACATCTTGAGTCCAAGATGCTCAACATATTTAATCCTCTTGACAAAGAACAACAGGGGGAAAATTGCTGGGAAGAAATGCACAGATGATATGCATATGGAATGAGGGAGGGATGTTATGTAGGTTATGAGGATGACAAACTGGCATGTGAAAGGTTTCTGGGTGCCACCAGCTCATTGCAGCACCAGCGGGGTTGTGTTTGTTTACAACGTGTCGCCTGGAAGAAAGCCAGTAAGCTTCAAGTGGAACTATGAGGTTAAAATATTGAGGAAAAACGTAAACGCAACTGAACATCTGGATTAGGGGATCACAGCCTGCGCCCCTGGGGCATTTGACCAGGTCCAGGTCCTTCCCCCTCTTACCGTCTATGCGCACAAAGAACCTCTGCTTTAGGTCAACCCTCCGCCTCCTTCTACCCCAATTACCGTGGCCTTAATTTCGGGATAGCTAAGGCGAGAGGATGGGTGAAGGGAACGGAGGAGGGGCCCCGGGGCGGGGTGGGTCCCTGTCCGAGCTCCGGAGAAGGCTGACCTGCCAGCGTAGGCTTGGGCCGGCGCCGCCACAGGAACCCCAGGCCCTCAGCCGCGTCTCCGTGGCCGGATTCCCAGAGCGGCGCCTCCTTCCTTCCCCTGCTGCTCCACCACCACCTCTGTCTCCGCGGTAGCCAACACCGCCCCACTTCAGGCCCCTCACAACGACACAGCCTGAAGCGGGCTACCTTGCGGCGGAACCCCACCCCTCCTCTCCCTCGCGCGCCTTTTCAGGAGGTCTTCCCCGCTTCCTCTCCTTCCGAGCGCGCTGAAGCCCCCTACCCCTGGACTGGGCTTTGCTACCTGGATCCGCTTCTTGTGTCGCCTGCGTTCCGCCATGTTGGCCGCTCCGCCCGGTTCCTTCTGACGTGGAGCGAGGAGGGGGGGCGGTGGAAATCTCGCGAGAACGCGTCCCGCGGTCCGTTATGTAACCTGCCGGCGGGCGCCGAGAGAGAGGGAGGTCGGCTGCTCCAAGGGCCTAAGGTCCTTGGTGGCGGCTTCTCTTCCCTCCTCTCCTGTTGTTGTGGGAACTGGAGAATTCGCCAGAACCCTGCGGAAGTCAAGAAGTGAATCAGAGAATAGGAAGGCTGGGAAGAGAGTTCCGTTCTCGAACTTGACTGAGCATCTGAACTACCTGGGAAGCTACTAAAATGCAGATTCCCGGGCCCCGCCCCCTCAGAGTCAGGCTCAGTATATTTGGGGTGGGGCCTTTCACCCAACGGGATGGCAGAGACCTACCGAGTCCTAGAAATCTTTACCATGGTAATTCCTATCATGTCACCAACAAGCTTTATCTCAACTCTTTCAAATTTCATGAGATTCCATTTAAAAGATGAGAAGAACGAGGTAAATGAGGGGTGGAGATACAAACGGACTCATTCAATGCGAAGGGCGAGACCTAGTCAGTGATCTTTTCCCACGCGGCTTCCTCGTAGCAGCTCCTTTAAATAGATTAGGCTCTTCATGCCATTGTCCAGGGGTTTCTTAAAACTCACTTTTAGAATCCTGAAGTCAGGGAGAAAGAACCCAGGGAAGTTATAAGATGAACAGGAGAAAGATCCCAGGAAGTCTGGTGGATTATTATTATGGACTATTGGTATTTTAGAGCTATGTAAGACCAAAGAGAGGGGTTTAAATAGCTAGCGCTTACATACAAAGTCCCATGACTTTATGGAGATTTTAAACCATTTTTAATTGCAGAAAATTGGGAAAATAAAGGTGAGATACAGAAAAGTTTAATTGTACCACTCAGATGTCTCTTAGTCGTTTAAATTTTCTTCTAGTATTTATTTCTACTTTGTGTGTGTGCATGCTTGTGGATATGTTCTATTTACATATTTTCCCATTCCCCAAACAGATCACATGCAATAATGGTAGCCTGATTTTTTCCTATTAATCTAATGTTGTAAGCATTTATTGTTTCAAAATTCTTCAATTATAACCTACTAGCAATTAATGTGTACTTACAGCAACTTGCAGAATCTTAATGCCTAATCTTTTTTATAAAGCGAAGTTCTTTTTGGACTATGTTATTCTGCTCTTAGGGAAACCATTTAGTTTCTTTCCTCTAAGAGGTATAATTTGTGTGTGTGTGTGTGTGTGTGTGTGTGTGTGTGTAGTGAGAAGGGAGATGAACTAGTAATGATTCTTACCAATTAATCTGAAAAATAATTTAGAATTATGAAATGTCTTTTCCTCCTCCAACCCTCCCCACCCAAAATGATGATGAATCTGTTTTGTTTGGAGACTTTTTTTCATAGGACAGCTGATCTATAAATGAAAACACATTTAATGGATATTGAGTGCCTTAGTAGATGAAAAATGTTAGGCTAGGACTACAGTGAGGAATGAAAATCCTTTGTGGACAACGTCTCTCAAGCTACATCTCTACCATCTTCTACAGAAGAGTTTTGATTTACTATTCCCATAGTCTCATTGCCATTTACTCTGTAGATTACTACAATTTTGTTTCTATCTCCACCATTAACTAATAATTCATTTGTCAAATCCAGTACTTTTTCCAGCTATCATCTTATAAAAGTATTTGATAATTGACCATTAACTTCCTATTCTCCATCTTTAGCATTTATGATACAGAATGCCTTTAATCCCTCTCATCTTTTCCTAACAAAGAGAAAACGACCCTCCACTCAAAGACTTCAGCAGGCAACAGTCTTGTTAACCTATGAAAAGTGTTACCCATATTTCAGTTATGGTGATAATCAGTTTCTCATTTTTAAGAAAGCATTTAAATTAAAGAGTCAATTTAGACTGGGTGCAGTGGTGCACACCTGTAATCCCAGAAGCTTGGGAGTCTGAGGCAAGAGGATCATAAGTTCAAAGCCAGAATCAGCAGAAGGTGAGGCACTAAGCAACTCAGTGAGACCCTTTCTCTAAATAAAATACAAAATAGGGCTGGGGATGTGGCTCAGTGGTTGAATTCCCCTGAGTTCAATCCTCAGTTCCAAATAAAAAGAAAGAAAAGAAAGTCAATTCAGAGGAAAAAATAAATAGTGCTATGTGGATAAGGCAAAATTTGGGAAAGTATGTAGATTGATGATGGATGTTTGAGAGCTGGGGGGAAGTGTAAAGCAATAGCTATTTTTCTAGAAGGAACCTCTTCATCAATCTATGTCCATCTCTTCTTATGAATCATCCTCCGTTGTCATTTAATTTTAATTTTCCCTTATTCATTTTAACCAGATCTCTCTAAAGTGGATGTTGGGAAGGCACACAGGACCCTTAGCCCCGGGTCTTGCTATCTTTCCCATCTTCCCATCATTGTGGTTTTCAGAGCAGGCATTCTGTGCTCTGTGCCCCAAGACTGCTTTGGAACTATAGGTTGAGCATCCTTAATATGAAAATCCAAAATCTCAAACTTTTTGAATGCTGACATGATGTCACAGTGAAAAATTCTACACCTGATCTCACGTGAGAGATTGCAATACAAATGTAGGTACACTAAAAATGTTGTATACAATTAACTTTGGGCTGTTGTGCAAGGTGTATATGAAATCAGCATATCTCTATGTATTATGTATATGCAGATATTCCAGAATTCCCACCAGAAATCCATGTGAAACACTTCTGATCTCAAGCATTTTGGATAAGGGATATTTGACCTTTAGCACCTTCTTCCTTCTGATTTCTTTTTGACTTTTCTCCTTCTACCCAATTCTCAAATGTATCTGGCTACCATATTTCTGTACTTGGTTTCTTTCTTTTCTCTTTATACATTCTGATGAATCTTATTCATGCTTAAACAATTTAATTCCAAAATATTGCATACATGTTTATTTCCGACTCTCTTCCATATACCTACTAGATATCTGACTGGAAATCACCATTTCCCCAGCAAAACCTGACCCTTTTTATTATATTCTTTAACTCTGATAACTGCATCATTATTCACTCAGTTAATCATGCTAGAAATCTTAGAAGTATCCCTACCATTCCTTTCTATTAATCATTTACTAATCTTATTGATTCCACAACAGAGCTGTTTGGAATTCTTCCCTGTCTCATCATTCCTATTGCCATTGCCCTCATCAGCCCTTTATCATTACGTATGTGAACAATTACTGCAATAGCATCCTAATTATTCTTCCCAACTCTATCTTTTACACTTCAGGTCATCTTCTACTCCTTTGTTTAAAACCCTCCCGTGACTCCCCATTAGGTATAGCAGCATGACTGATGGCTAATTTTTGCATATATAAACTAAGTGTCAAATTTCTGGGTCCCACTTCCATTTAATACTTTTATAAAAATAGCTCAGCCCCTCTTCCCAGCACCCTGTTTATATCTTTTTTTTTTTTTAAGAGAGAGTGAGAGAATTTTAATATTTATTTATTTTAGTTCTCGGCGGACACAACATCTTTGTTTGTATGTGGTGCTGAGGATCGAACCCGGGCCACATGCATGCCAGGCGAGCGCACTACCGCTTGAGCCACATCCCCAGCCCCAGCTGTTTGTATCTTTATGTGGTACAGTACTGCAAGTGGAATGAACAGTACTCACAAAACTCCAGAGGTGGGAGAATCAGGGTGTGTTTGAGAAACAGTAAGGTCAGTGGCTGCAGTACATTCAAAAGAGAAGGGAATTAGGGGTTAAGGTCAGAAAGGAAATGGGTCAGATTGCACAGGGTTTGGTATGTCATTGTAATGATTTTGGATTTCACACTGAGTAAAATGGGGGCTATCAAGAGGTGTGTCAAGCCAGATTAGGGGCAGAGGAGTGATATGATAAAGGCTTACATTTTAAAAGGATCCTGATTACCATATTGGGAATAGACTGTAGGAACAAATGCTAAAAGAGGGATAAAAGTAGGGAGATTCATTTAGTAGGTTATTGTTACAAACAAGTGAGAAATGATGGTGGCTTAGACTTGGATGGTTATTGTAGAGATGATAGAAGTGCTTAGACTCTAGGTATATTCTGAAGGTAGTTAATGTGATTTTGAGAGTGAGGGGAAGATAGTAATCAATGGTGACAGAGATTTTGTGCTTGACTAACTGGAAGAATGGAATTGCAACTTAATAAAATGGTAAAGATAAGATTGGAAGCAGTTTGGTATGGGAAGAATAGGTATTTGAGTATTTTGATCTGAAGGTAATTAAAAAAAATAGAAAAGAAAAAACAGACACCAGAAGAGCTCTCTGCCCTCCTCTTATCTGCCTAGAAATCGGGGCATACATTTTCCTTGTGAAGGTGTCTCCTTTCCTTTCCCTGCACCAGGGAGAGGAAAAAAACCTTTTATCAATAGTGATAGAGACAGTGCTCAGATGAATCTCATAAATTTACTGAATAACCCCATGTAACTCCATATTCTTGCTGTCCCACAATTTGCCCACCCTTAGACATCCCAAACCCATTTCCTTTATCTAGTTGCTTCTCAACAATTTATCACTTTTTGTTATGAAGTATGTAAGCCTCCATGTGTAGTTAACTGGTTCCTTGATTTTTTCACTTTTCCCCCCCTTTTGGTGCAGGAGATTGAACTCAAGGAGGTTTTCACTTCTTTCCCATGAATGGTGAACATAATAACATGATGCAAAATTTTATACTTTTCTTCTGTTAAACTGTCTTTTATCAGTTTAATTCACAGGACCCCATTATAGAACCTAAGAGGGTAAGGGAATAATTTTCTCCTTCAGAGTCACTGGTGCATAGATGGTATTTAAATCCAAGAACCTGAAGTATCTTTTGATTCCCCTCAGGACACCGCATAGCTTTTTGCTTTCTTCCTACCTCTCATCCCTTATCAGTTTCCTTTAATGGGCTCTCTATTTCTACTCCTTCTCCAGTGCTAAATGGAGTACCCCACAATGGTATTGCTATCCAGGGGTTAATAAGGGATATTTGATAGCTAATCCTGTAGGTCTGCCCCATGCCTGTGCCTCTGTTCCTGCTTACAGCATTCTTCACTCTCTCTAGAACATTTATCACCTTTCTGAATCTCTGGGCTCTGTCACTTCTCCCTAGGACTGCCTCTGAAATTCAGAATTTCCCTTACTTTATAGGGTAGAGAAATTGAACTCTCAATACTGGGCATATTTTTGTAAATTAAAAAAAAAATTCATCACTGTGTTCTGTGAAACAAAGATTCTTTAAACTGGAC